GCAAAGGTCTGTTGATATGTTGGATAACGTATACTAATGAATTTTATGCAATGTTATATGATTATATGTATGTACATGCAACCTGACGTATTTTCATTATAATTCATAAAACATAAAATTACTGAGTATGTAATTCTTTTGAAGCCCCCCCTCCCCTCTGGATTTATATTCGGAGACATTCTTGCAAGTATTGGCTTTTGAATCGTTATATACAATTTAATCTGACTAAACATTTGGTTATAATTACCATAAACATGCATACAGAATTTCATATTCTATAATAGTAGATTTTTCATTGTGCAAGATACTGATATTCACATGTCAGAGAGAGAGAGAGAGTGAGTGAGAGAGAGATTCCCTTTTAATCCCGATTATCCTATCCATTTACATAGACAAAATATCAGTTCTATATCAGTTGTACCCATTCTTTATTAAATATTTTCTGATTTCATTGTCCGTCATAGTCAATCTATCACGCGAAGTGCACATGTATTGAACTGTCAATGAAAATCTTCCAACAATGTATGCATTGCAAAAAAGTTGTTCGAAATGATCTTTATTAAGTATGATCTTTCAGAAAATCTGATGCAACAAATTTGTGAAATGAAAAATAAAATAAAAACATAGCTAGAGCATCGTATATCAAAGGCGTTTGGTTTCAGGATTGAATTTTTCATCGCCGACTTTTATGATGAAAAATGTAGAAGCGTCCCTGAATTACACGGAAAATCTAGAGAGAACAAGTTTGGCGCGGTTTCTGACCTCTCTAGATTTTCTATGTAATTCCGGGACGCCTCTACATTTTTCATCGTTAAGGACGCTCTAAACACTGCACATGAAAGAGTTCTATTTATTGGGTAGTTTTATGCAGTTACAGTGATCTGCCCTTAGATGTAAGATTAAAGAAAATGTTATATACCGTTAATTACATAATTTATAATAGATTAAAATACTTTTAGCAATAAAGTAGACCAACAGTAAGAAATTTGATTAATTATTTTCATTGATTTCCCAATATAAGTAAACAATAGTGATTTCTGCTCACAAATAGTACATTGTCTTTGGACATTTTTCCTGCGCAAATAAGGCACATACCCTATGTTCTAAATGAATGAAAAAGTCTCAATATGCATATCTTTATATGATATATTTTTCTCTGAGTCCAAAAAACAGTTTCTGTTCCCTTAAAAATCGGCACTTCCGTTGCTTTCGAATAAACAGGTCAAGAATCGAGGACGTTTTGGGTTTACTGCATGTTTTATACGGCAAGTTCTAGTCGGCAGACGTTTGAAAGGCGTTAATCAATCATTTTTGAAGCTAGATCTCACCCGACACTAGTAGGAAAAATGTAGAGATAGATGAAAATTAAGTGTGTACCGAGGTACCCCCTGATATAAAAGATGGAGAGTGACGCTCCTTTACTCTTTTTATATACAGTAAATATGACATTTTTAAAACGTGCTAATTTCAGCGAATTTTTTTTTTATTTTGATGATGGTATTCAGACACACATAGAAAAACACTTAATACACAATCCTGAAACCAAGCGCATATGTTACTGACTTCAGTTGTGGGACGTGGAGACCGGTCCTTCAGATGAGATCGTTTAAATCGAGGTCCCGTATGTCTGATGGTACTGGCTCAAAAAGATTCTCCACTGCTCAGTGGCGATAAGCGCCAAGTTATAGGACAACATTTTGCAGTCTCCACCGGCGAGTGGAGTGAAAAATTCTCGAGAGGGGCGTTAAACAACATATAATCAATTAATCGATTGCTGGATAATTCCTGTAATTGAATAAATTAATCTTTCTGCTGGTAAATCTCGATAGTATTACTTTAAAAATCAACGACTTTATGTTTTATGTGGTACTAACTTATAGTTCATGAAATTTTTATAACACCATCACAATTGTGCCAAAACATAAACACTGTGAAGTTTATGAGAGTACGGTGTTCGTTTGTCTGTTGGTTTGTCTATGATACATATGTAGCTCTTATGAGTGCCAAAATGATTGATCATGAAAATCAAAGACCTTTTTGCATTTTTTTTTCTTTTCGAGTACATATGATTTCTATGTTTTTTGCAGAGAAAAAAAAAGCAAATTCTAACAGATTTAGAAGAACGGAAGACTTATTTGTTGCCATGGCAACAAGATTCTAGTTATTATTATTATTATTTTTCTTCTTCCTGGGAATATTTGGTCCACGAGTGATCTTGTAAACTATACATCCGACTTAGGTGAAACCTTTTTAGGGTTAGTAGGCATGTTGTGTAGAGTTGCCAAACGAAGGTCATTTTGCGCGCACGTGCTGGCAAGAGCGCGCACGTGCAACACGTGAAATGACCAATATAATGGATATCGCCATAACTTTTCTATTTTTTGATGAAATATTTTGAAACTCATACTGTAAGGATATATTAGAATTATAAACAAGACGACATGGTCAATATAGCAAGATCTCACGCGCATGCACGTGCGCTTCGCTCTGATTGGCTGAAACTAAAGTCTCAATATCTTTCTTGTTGTACGTCATAATCATTTGAAATTTTGAACTTAGTCACACATTATGAAGATCTACAGCATGATATATAAGGATTTTCATGAAAGCATGTACATACACGTGTGCTGGCAAGAGCGCGCACGTGCAACACGTAAAATGACCAATATAATAGATATTGCCGTAACTTTTCTATTTTTTGATGAATTTTTTTGAAACTCACAATGAAAGGATGCATTAGTAGTATCAACAAGATGACATGCTCAAAATGGCTAGATCTTACGCGCATGCACGTGCGCTTTGCTCTGATTGGCTGAAATTTAAGTCTCAATATCTTTCTTGTTTTACGTCATAATCCTTTGAAATTTTGAACATGGTCATACATTATGAAGATCTACAGTATGATCTATAAGAATTTTCATGAAAGCACGTAAATTTACGTGTGCTGCAATCTGATTTGTTGAAACCTTAAATGCCTATAACTTTCTTGTTTCTCAACAGAACAGGATGAAATTTAGAATATGAATGGGTATAATGGAATCCTACATGATACTACTATCAAAATTGAATGCAAGGACGTGCTTGCATGTACTTGCGCAAGCGCAATGCGAAAAATGAACTATATACTTGAAAAACAGTAACATTTATATTTTTATGACTTTTTATTGATTCCTGGAATATAAAGATATGTTAATAGTTTAGACAACATGCCATGATCACCGTGCAATGCGTTAAATGACAAAAAGTTGATATCATTGTAGCTTTTAAAATTCTTTCTATAAAATTCTGCGATACTGAGCATATTAAAGAAGGTTAAGGAAATTGGCACAAAAAGGGAGTTGGGGAGCGTTTGGGGAACATCTGTAACGGTCCCCGTTACAATTAGAACTAGTTATACTGCACATAAGACTAAACATTCAGGCTTGAAAAAAACTTCTTGAAGAGGAATGCACTGAAGCTCTAGTCGTATACCTACAATATTTATCCGATGTAAACAGTTTCAATTAATTCAGATTATCCGTAATGATGACCCTAGAGAAAGTTAGCAAGGGGATTACAAGATTAAATCATAGCATCTGTTTTTTTACGGCAGGCTGGAACATATACCATTGGCGCGCATGGGAAAGCCAGCATTGAAGCGAACACGATCTTATTTCTCGTGCCATTACATGCAATAATTGTTGTTATAAACCAAAGTATATTTTCCTATTTACAATAGAATTATCATTATGGCTTATTAGTTTTTTCATAACAATTTTGAGAAATAATAATTTCGCCAGATGGTTTGTCGTTTCACTTAATTGAGTCAATGCCAGCTACAATTTGGATTTGTTATTATAACCCTATTCTAAAGAGACATTATTACTTGGAGCAATAAAGATGTATCACGATCCCACCTCAACCCAAAATTCACGTTCAATATCATTATACAAATAATACTTAGTTTAGATTTTATTAACAATCTATATTCACAAGTTTTTTGGAGCATTCTTGCACGTTGTTGATTACGGAAAAGCCGCCATTCTCACTCGATCCCCAAAAAATATTTTTTTTAATTAGCCTTAACATCTCTGGAAGTGCATGTTATATTTGATGCACATTACCTTACATCCATTCGTAATTAGAACTATGAACTCTAATTATCAACTTCAAACAAAATACAGGTAGTATAGAAGAAATTCCTAATTTGCAGTTAATTGCCTCTCACAGTGTATGCTGGTAAGTTTCCAATGTCGTTAACGACCCCGGTAATGTTCGAAGCGTATTACTGCTGGTCCTACAATTTGATCCGGGCATCTGTTTCATCCACATTAAGTAGGATTGCTAGTGTCTTAGAAGTCGTCGAGGAGTGATCAAGTCGTTCATGACTTTCATAATAATTATCAGAGGATTTCTTCACATTCTCCTCATATTCGATAGATGATAAATTAAAGCATGCTGTTTATCGTCATTGGCTGGTGAAACTACTTGTTGTAAATCTTTCGCTTATTTTGTGTTAATAGCTGTTTTCTGTTTCTACGGGGGAAAATGGAAAGCAAATTGAGAAAAAAATATTTATTTGATTATTGAACAGCCAATTGAAAAACGGGGTTAAAGATATCAGAGATATTTAAAAAGGGCGCATTTAAAAATATCAGTTTCTTAACTATGAATTATCTATTATACACGATCGATTTGAACATTAAAAGAATTGAAAGTATCTCCCAATTTTATAATACTAGTAGTGGATATTTCCCCCGATAAAAATAAAGTCCCTCTGAACTAAGATACAAAAATAATCTATTCATGCTACATTCACAAAAATATGTTGACATAAGTTTTTGCAATCATTTGACTTTACCTTTTTTCAAACAAAAAAGAACGTGGTCGATTGGAGAATCACCCATCAGCTGATGAAATTGTGATTGGTTCATTTCGACCAATATTATTACGAAGATTCAAATAACATCTATTCGACCGCTGACTCCCCTATATTGTCTTTAGACAATCCTGATTAGTGAAATCCAAGGAAAGCCAATATAGATTTGATTACTGTATTCCACAAGAAGGTGTTATCCATATTTACATACAGGGAATTTATTGGGAGACATCACATTGCTTTGTGTGCATTTGTTGAGAGAAACTTCTTACGACGCTGGACGATTGTAAATCTTTATCAAATAAAAACAAGAGATCGACTAATAAATATCATCGACTTATAAAAGTTGTCTAAATTCGGTTTTAGTGATTTATATCGATAATCGAGAAATTTTGGAACATTTATAGTCAAATTCTTTATCGTTAAGAATCGGGAAGAGTTTGTTTGAACCTCGAATAGCTCAGGTTTACCGGCGACAGATGTGTAAAGTGTTCGCACCCCCTACACTCAAGCAAACAAAAACGATAAACAAAAACATGTATACGGCATGCAGAGAAAAAATTAAATACTACAGCTATTAACATCTTCATTCGCTGGCAGATGGTTTTTCTGCGAGTGACTACTAACCCACTGACGGCGAGGCCCAATCATGTTCAGAGTCCCGAGGAGTTCCGAAGATAAAATATACATGTACTCTGTTTAGAGAATATACATGTCTATGTAGTCTTGATTGGAACATATTTTGAAATTTGCTGTGTTATTTCATAGGATGATAATTATTTTTTTATAAGGATGCGTATTCGATAATGATCTATTGAAGGTAGGTTAGAGTATTTCATAATTTAGTTAAAAAAGTGAATTGATATAATTATTAATTCATTTTTTAAAACTAACTTAAATATATCATAACTTTATTTTTAAAGACACAAATGTAAGTTGTTTTCCTTATGAAATGATAGAAAAAATATCTTTTCACTGAAACGAATTCGTTTACACCATTATATGAATTTTAAAGGAATTAAAATAACTAACTTGATATAAACAAAAAAAAATTATATCATAATAGTCATTAATAGATGTAGTAACTTACATTAATTAAAAATGCCCCTTTGATACATATTTTATCAAATTACTAAAATAAATATAGAAGTGTATACAGTTATACTTGACTCTGGGTGTCCTTATCGCTTTAATCAATGAAATAGACAACGTTATTAGACGCTATCGCCATGTTCGCTTTCATCCTAAATCATCTAATTTACCGACACATCGCCTGGGAAATCTGACATCTTCAAACGAAACATACATTTTGACATTCATCGCTTCCCGGAACAAGCTTGTTTAGTAACGCCTATGTCCAGTGGTGATTTGATTATGGTTCATTAAGTCATTTAAAACAGTCGCCACAGAAAATAGTTAGCCTACCTCCGCAAAAGCCAAGATTTTTCTGCTTAAAAAAGATGTTCTGTTTTCTAGACAACATTCTTCATTTTCTTGTGTGCGTTTCTTTGGTAACAAAACGTAACAAAAACCATTTTCTTATTGCAGTTTACCCCCAAAATAAACTCAACTTGTCTTCACTTTCTATTATTTCTTTTTAGATCTTTCGCATGTATAGAAACATAAATACAATTTATGCGGTTAGCAAAATACGCTAACAAAAAATGCTATCATGAAGAATTAAACAGTGCTTGAATTTATTTTCGACGAAAAAGAAAAACACTGCACACTTAGAAATAAATTGTACAGAGGTAGAGTTTAATTTGTTTAAATTGTTGGCTCCGAGGAAATAATAGAAAAATGAGGTCACCTGCCGTTTAATCAATTTGAGAGATTAAATAAATTACATTTGCTTTTTTTCGTGAAAAGTATTTCACTTGATTGATGTACTTTTCTTTATATATCTGAGTAATTTAAGAGAATTAAGAGCCGTAATGGAGATAGAATACTACTGTTAAACAATAAATGCTTTCGGTCTCTTTTAGCTTTAAATCACAATGAATAGTTTGCTTTTGAATACAAAAATAATTTAAGAAACGATACAATTCTCCGTCATATATTTTACTTTAAGGTGGCTGGGATCAACAAATTAACCATCAAATATAACTTCTTTTTTTCAGTTATGATATCTTAAGCTGTCAACTATTATTTAGCAAAGAAAAATTTCACACATTTCATTTCAGTTTTAAAATTTGATCATTTTTGTTAATTTTGTATATCTTTATATGGAGCTCTTCTTGTAAAGGAGATCAATATAGTCTAAAAAAGGCTACAACCACCCTGGCCTCTTAAAAGCTACAACGCAAGAAAAATTATTTCCGAGAGTAAATGGATATATAAAGTTCTAAGTTATTTGAATGAATATTAGATTTTCTTATAAATATAACGTATTTTTATGATATTGGCTGTAGTTATTCAATTAAAAAAAACTGGCTGCTAGATACCGTTAGTTTTTGAAACAGAGTTATAGATGTCTATTCGTCCAAGGGACAAAGTAGCGTTTATAGTTTTTCATAAAAGTCTACCAGATGTTACATTGTAAAATGAATGATAAAAATTTTGTGACTATTCTTTCTTAGGACACTTTAAAAGGAAAGGCACTACCTGGGCATAGTGATCCCTCAGTTTCCGCCATGTACGCGGATTCGTAACATATGGTCTTTATTTTATTCTTTTATGACCTTATACTCGTTTCCTTCCTTGAAATCGATGCATTCGTTATAGTTTTATAACTAATTATACAGACTTCTCAGAACATATTTTCTTTCTATTTGAGGTAAGTCAAATTTGACAGCTTTGCAAAAAGTACCTTGTTAGCAGAAATGTAAACAATGACTCGAGAATGTGTACTTTTCCAAGCCATTGTTAAATTTGCTTGTCCTTGAAGATCTTTTGTGCACGAATGCTTTCAAAAGAGGAAATATGTTAAAAGATACGCTAATAAGTCAATAGATTTCAGAATCATTAGTAAACTACATATTCTTCCTGCACTCTACAAATTGTCAATCGAACACGGCCGTCGCGCGCGTTCGTTATCTTGATACCATTATAAATCGCAGTAAACATTAAGGATAAACACACATTTTTAGTCTCCTATATAAGAGGGCCTAATGATCCAACTTCTCCCCCAAAAAATCAATGGAAGATATGTTGCCTTGTTAGGAAGAGTAAGCTATACAACCCCCCACACCCGATTAGTGGTCATTAAGCTAATTGTGAATTATATATCACAATACATATTTATCCAAATTCATCCGCACACAGGGGACTATAATCGATGAAATATTTACGTTACTCTTGTCTATATGTTTTATGTGATGTTCCGAAATGGAAAATGTCAGGCATATTGTTGATATATTCCATGGTAATTCACAAAGTACACGCGGAAGGGATAGGTAAAGATATGATATATAATATAATTCATATATTTAGGGTTATTAATATTTCATTACGCGACAGAATATAGGGAGGCGGGGGAATGTAACGTTACATCAAAGAAACGTAAAGGTCTTTTATTTCAGCCAGGAAAAATATTTGATTGTTATCATCATGTCGTTATATAATCAAAATTATTATCATAGAAGTATCATATACGTCTATATTTGACACACAATGACGTTCAGCTTACAAGCGAAATTTCACTCAATTTGTTTCAAGTACATATTTATTGAATTAGTGGATTATTTTTATAAATTTACAGAGAGAATTTTTTTTGTGAAAGCAATGTAATCATACTACAATTTAGCGTTGCAAACCACGGCCAAAATGTATGGCCCTCTCCCATTCCGGAGAGATCTAGTGCGAATTCCTTACTGTGGCTTTAGACGATGACTATACAGTTTGTGAGATTGACTTTGCATAGAGTAACATTAACGTTACCAAAAATGGCCAAACAGTAGAAATATCTTTTCGGAACCACCGTCCAGTTTAATTGTTGGGTATGCCAGGGCATTTACGACCATTGATAACGTGGGATAATTTGCAGTCTTCGGAGATCCTCCAAACTGAATATTTGTGTTAAATCTCCCAACTTATTTGGACATGCTCCGAGTGAGACTAATTCTTTAAATCGACATAGGCTACTGACAAACACGTTGATGTTAAAGAGATTTCAACTCGTTTAAGGTTTACCTTGCTATCCAATACAATCTATCTTGGGTCGTATTTTGACTGAAATAGTTCATGCCAATTGTAAGGCCTTTTCAAATGCTAAATTTGACTACGGATTTCCGTCTTCCTCATGATAAAGATACATCAATATTTGGAGTTCTAATTATTAGATAGGCGGAATAGTGCTGTTAAAAAAATCTATATATACTGTTTTTTTTAAAAAATTCATTTGTTGAAAATTGTACTGTTTGTAGATTTTTTTGAGATCAATCACTTTTCTTTATCTTCACCTTTTTGTCCCCCGCTTTCGCGAAAGCGAGGGGGGCATTAAATGTCATTTGTCTCTCAATTAGTCTGCCCATCTGTCACAAAAACGTTGATCTTAGCCATTACTCTTAAAAGAGAAGAGATACGGATATCATATTTCACATGTACATTACCGGTGGCAAGATCTTTCCAAATATACTATAGTTTTTTGACCCCCTGACCTTGACTCTAAAGTTCTACATACTTTTTTTTACCATGTGACCACGACCTCAAAGTTTGACCTACAAATGTTATCTTTCCCAAGTCATTACTTTTGAATGAGAAGAGATAATGCTTTCATATTTGACATAAGCTGTAACAAGATGTTTCCGATCATGCAATGATTTCTCATTGACCTTGCATGATCTTTTGTTTGACCTAATTTAAAAAGACAATTTTGGTGATTTCTTTTGAATGACACATGATAGACCACATCGTCGGAAACCCACGGGTGATCTCGTCTTTACTTAGACGAGATCACCCGTGGGTTTCCGACGATGGATAGACCATTCATATAGGACATAATATGTCATAAATAACGGCATCCCATCCACTAAGACAATGAAAGCAGGGGACCACAATTCTTTGAATTTTCTTGTTTGTCTAACCTGTAGAGCTGACAAGTGCTTGAGTAATACATTCTCTACATGATATATAGGAGAAGGTGCCTTCTTCGCAAAAAATGATTGTCAATACTTAATGAAATTTTGCCTGCTTCACAGTATGGTGAATATACAGATTTATACACTGTAGTGGAGTAGTTTTGAAAAAAAAGGAAAATTCACCAGAAGCGACACACCTTGTTAAACTAGAGGTACTGTGAGCGATGAGCTCACTAAATGATACCCCCCGCCTCCCATATGGTTATAACGCAGCGTGATTTCACCAGAAGCGACACACCTTGTTAAATGATAATTAACCCATCTTCCAGTTCGCTTAGATCAACAGGAGCGATGTTAGATAATTATCACGGCAAAGGTGATGAATATGCAACAAAAGGCCGCTAAAGTTATCTTTCACCCCCTTCATCCTCTTAAAATCGCCATTAACATAACTTCCCAGAAATGAAGCATATCTTATGAGTGGAAAATGTCTATCAACACGAACTGAGAAGATTTTAGGCAGGAGAAATATTTGTTAAATATATGGCCGTTTACCTTTTGATTTCTTCTATATCCTTCAGCGTGTTGTTTGGTAATAGATCTAGATAATATCGTTTTTACATGCACAGAAGCTATTAATTTTCTACAAACATGTGAATAATCTCATTATTAACAAGATATTGAAACTTTCGCTTTAGCGCTAGAACTGGATTTGCAGGTTAGAAGTGTTTGTTCTAAATATGAATATTGGAATGGAAATATAAATATTGGAATGGAAATTTACTAACTATATAGTAAATAGAACTAGTAACAGAACTTATTTGGTGCGTTTAAAATTTGTTGCATTTTGAATCTGGGTCCATGCACCCATAGTTGTTTTGTTGTTTTTGGATCGATGTGTATATGTTTTACCACCTCACCTAATATCTACAAATATAATTTTGTATTGGTATAACATATTGAACATCTGTTACAAGAATCAATATCGACCTTGACCTGTGACAGGGATTTTATTTTGGAAACGATAACATTCTGTAGTTGTCACCATTTTATGGGATTTTGTAAAACCTTTACATACAATGTATATCACTACCTTCCGTTTAAACTTTTAAAACATTTTTATGCCCCCCCCTCCCCGGATCGAAAGATCCCGGGGTATATTGTTTTTTGTCCTGTCTGTCTGTCTGTTTGTCTCTCTGTCTGTCTCATGTCAACTTTAACCTAGCCCATAACTATTGAGTGAGCTATGGATTTCATAGGTGTATTCCTTGTGACAAGACCTTTCTTTGGGTACCACCAAATTTGACCTCTTGACCTTAGAGTTTAGATTTTGACCTACAAGTTGTACTTTTACAAAAAATACCACACTTTAACGTTGGCCATAACTTTTGAACAGTTGGAGCTAGGGCGTTCATCCATCAGTCACATGTGTATTTATTGTGACAAGACCTTTCATCTGATATAAATATTTTCGATTTTTGACCTTGACCTAGGAGTTCGAATTTTAAAAACTTTAACCTCGGTTATAACTTTTGAACAGTTAGAACTAAGGCTTTCATATTTCACATTTGTATTTCTTATAATAAGACCTTCTTTTGGGTACAATCACTTTTGACCTTGACCTTTGGAGTTTGACAAGCATTTAAGAGAATTCAAACCTCGCCATGAGCTGCCATACGGGGGCAACAGTATTTCACAAACACATATTGTTTTAAACTCTACATTCGGTGGTTTTACCATAATATTATAAATGTCTGGATGGATATAGGAAGACGTAAAAAAAAATGAACCAGCGATGTTCACAAAATACACTATTCTTATAAGCAAAACTACCAGCTTCATCCGTGAAAGAATGTAAATTCTGGGAAAAGTGAACATAAAAAGAATAGTTTTTCTCCCGGCGAATTTTAGTGCCTTAATAAATGTCAGTATTAAATGCACTATCACCAGCTCTCTGATGCGAATGTTGCCAAACCGTTTAACCACATTAAAATCATGACCACCCCTTAATGTAAAGTGACCTTAAATGACATCAATAACCCCTGCATTTCTATCAAAGATTAGATTACCAGTTTTGTTTCACAACGAAAGAACTTTGTTTTTTCCCGATTCATCTGAGATCTTTAGCCAGCAATTAGGAAGATAAGTAGAACTGTAATCTCGCTTTCCCTTTCCTTCTTTTTAAAATAAAAAAATAAATTACATTGTATAAAAACAAATGGAAAAAAATAACCCCTCTCAAAAAAAGGGGGGGGGGGGGTCGGGAAGGAGTATAAACTATTCAGTGCATAGTATTAATCGTTAAATTTCTACATAGAATGATAAAGCCTAATTCATCGTAGTCAAAATCTATTATATATGCCCAGAGTGGCAAGAAAGGAAAATATATAAAGAAAACCATCGAGTCCATTGTTGATATGGAAATCGAACGCACGCGAGATTTTAGATATATGCCCTGCATATCACATCAACTGGTCGCTTTATCGCACGCCCCTTTTGCTAGATTAATTTATTAAAACAAACATAGCGTGCCAGAAAATATTTGATTACGCGATAATTAATGTCTTACATGGTTAGATCGTTGTGTGGCCGCAAAATAACTTTTCCCCCTCTCTCTTTATTTCCAGATAAAAACATATGTTTTGGTGGAAAGTACATATAGAAAATCCGAGACAAAGTTTTAAAACAGGAGGCACTTCAAAGTGAGTGTTTTTTCACGTTTTCTTCTTTTTATTTTATGAATTTTTTTTAAATTCGTCATTTTTGATCAAAGTTTCAAAAATTTGTTAATTTTTCATATTCTCTCAAGAGTTCAGAGGACCGTGATGAATCAGCTCACCGACGATATGAAATATTAAGCATGCACTTCCCTTTTTAATTTCATGCATGTTACTGCTTTTAATTCAAAAGTTTTAAGTTCTAGTATGGTATCGCGACTGCATTCTAAAGATGAAGTTGCTCTCATCAGTGTATATTTGTTGGGAACTTTGCAAGTCCAGCTACAATGCATTTAATATGGAATTTAAATGCTAGGTCCATATTGCATTTTGATACAAGGTCTTTATCAATTTAGAAATGATTCATTATATTTTATTTAATTTTATGTTTTGATTTTTGTTTTATTTTATTCTGGATTCAAACACTTCTTATGATACCTTTAATTATATCGTTGGTCAATCTCAATCTTTTCTCATTCTTTAGACCGGCGGGGTCTGTTGATCCATATTTTTCCCTATTTATTTCTCTCAATGTTCATAAATAATGCAAAATATACCATGTTTTATCAGGAAAGCGATCTCGTTGAGGGTGTATACTGTCAAATTCAGGAGTGCTTGTTAATAACAATATTAATATGTAATGTACTGCAGACATGGTTTCTCGTTTAAAATAGTTTTCAAAAATCAAGATGTGTCGGAACTTGTGTAAAAACATGAGACATTGAAAGGATTGTGTTGTGTGTGAGTGAGGGTGTGGGTGTTCATTTGGTCTAAACACTATGACTGCATATACACAGACGGACAGACAGACGGACATGTCAGTCGCTAGATACCTGTAGTATTATAGTATTGAGTCGGAAAGAATTAACGAGCCTTAGAAGATATACATTTTCTTGTAAGCTCGAACTTTTCTTACAATTAATGTTATACGTATTTGTGTAAATTCATTTGTTGCCACGTTTTTATTTTGATCAATTTAAAAGATATAATTAGTATGATGACCAAAATCACGGATGAAGAGCATTTTGCAAAATTTTACACATCTTTAAATCTTGGTAGATTATGATTTACTTTGAATATTTACCGAGAATCCAACCTTTAAGTTAACTTTGCTGTTTCACGCATTGATCGGAGCTTCTCTATTTCACCATTCAGAAACTAAGCGTTGAAATAGAGGCATGTTTAATGCTTCTTTAATACACATTGATCATGAAAGACGGGGCTAATAAAAGATCAACTCGCGAGTAAAATGTTTTACATCGATGAAGGAATTTTTGTTTTACAAATTGTGAAGGATTATTTGAATCGATATTTCCAGGTTTTATTCATAATAAAATGTTTACTCGTTAATAAAGAGGACCAACGAGGCAAATAATTATTCACTTTCGCTAATCCAAGTGGCTAAAAGCTTACTGAGTCTACTTATGGCCATCGATTGAAAATTTAGATTTAAAGTGTCGATGTTAAATTTGCAGTGAAATATTCAGTATAGAGAAGTTAACTTTTTCTTTACGTATTTTCCATTTCAATAAGAGGCAAAAACTAACAATTGTAACTAAAGCGAAAATTAAACAAGCAAGGGTAACAACCCCCCCCCCCCCAAAAAAAAGATGTGTTTGTAAAACACTGATGCCCTCATAATGCAGCTTATTGCGCAGGTCACAGTTTCTCAAATGGAAGTCAAACTCCAAGGTCAAGTTCAAAAGGTCAAAGTTGTAGATATCAAGAGGAAGGTCTTTTCAAAAGAAATACACCTATGAAATTTTTAGTACTAACTGTTCAAAAGTTATGGCCAAAGTGGGTCAAACTCTATGGCCAAGGTCAGAAATATTTATAGTTTTTTTTATACTAATTGAAAGATCTTGTCACAGTCAATACACATGTGAAGTATATGGAAACCCTAGCACCAACTGTTCAAAAGTTATGGTCAAGGTTAATATTTGGTATTTTTGGTAAAAGTAGGTCAAACTCCAAGGTCAAGAGGTCAATCTTGGGAGTAGCCCAAGAAAGGTCTTGTCAAAAGGAATACATCTGTGAAATATGAAAGTCATAGCCCTACCCAGTCAAAAGTATGGGCAATGTTAAAGTTTTTTTGCGCACAGACTGAAGATAAACAGACAGACAGACGGAGGTATAGGACAAAAACTATACCCCTTGAGTCTTCGATGATGGGGGTGCATAAAAATAAATTGGTTGAATGTTGGTCTAAGAGAATGTCTGATAAAGTCTTTGATTGTAAACCGTCTTTATAAAAAAAGACCCCATGACAGACTATTCTTTTGCCATTTGTTTTTAGTGCAGCCCTCCTTCAAATGACACTCAAGTGCATGGTTGAAATAGCTTGGGAAAATGTCTCTACTACAATTCTTCATTAGTTTTTTTTTTATTATTAATAAATTCCCCTTGATTTAATTATCCCTGTGCGCATGCCTATCAATATATATGGGATTTATATAAATGACTATAATCATGCATATTAGTTAATCTACATGCATTTATCTTAATAAGCACGTTATTAGAGCTAACTTGTCAGAATTTGAATTTAACATATCAAACATGTGCTTAATTAGTATGAAAAAATGTAGAATTTATCAGATCAGTTGAACTCGTATTTTCAATTAAATGCCTATGTCCTGAAAATATCCTAAAATATTTAGCCTTGCGTATCACAGTTAATTTTAAAAGTCAACTTTAAATGCTAGTTTACAGCAAAACGTTGAGATTCTTGGATATATAGAATAAATGTAATTTACAGGTAACTATATTTTCCAAGCTCTTGTAATAAAAATTTCAGCATCATTACTGTATCAGTGCTGAATTTAGCGCGTCCACTGGTGCTGTCGTTTGAATTTCAGAAATTTTTAAATAAAACCTTTGCTATTAACTCATATTAATAAAAAGTATTTTTAACTAAATTAAACTATGTAAGAGTTTCGGAGAAAGAAATCCTTGATGTACCTCCAGTTATACTGGGTAAGAATTAAAAAAATTAAGTTTTCTTTATGTAAGGACAACTTTCACATTTCCTCGGCTTTCTCTGTCAAATTAAGAAATTCCAAACCTTGTTTAGATATATACTATAGACACTATGGTTTGCCCTTCCTAACATTTGCAGTTGCAATACGTTTTCATTAAGCACGTATGTTCATTATGCTTATATGCAAGAAGTCACAAAACGCAGCAATCATGCTATGATGAAAGGAAAATTAATAGATCTTACAATTAATTGTCCTGAGTCTGGGAGAAGAAAGGGACATATGGCTCTTCTGTAATTTATAACTCATGATAGTCAGACATACGTAAAGTGCTAGACAATGTCTCCGGAATCATAAAAGAACCGGAGGGGGACTTGAAATAGGGTTAATGGATTAAAAGGTGTAAATCTGCCTCATAATGCAATGTTTGCTGTTCACAAATATGCAGATTTGAATCTTAAATTAATTTTGCGGTTGGTGCTATGGTCTGGGGAATCGGTTGAAAAAATTTTTGTCTGTAACTCAAAAGCTTGATTTGATCGTTTTAGATCACAATTTTATATAAATTTTTATTAAGTACATGTAGAATGAGAATGGCATCGTCGTTGAAGAATGGGTGTTGCTTGAGATTTAGTCGAGAATTTTGAAGTACCACATATTATTACCAAGTAGGTGTCATGGAGCGCATTATAATACACTAAGCGATTTGAAGACAGAAATAGGTCAAAATGTTCTATTTTGCTTATCGTTACATCAAACTTTTTTTTATCAAGATGACACTTCATTAGTATTGTAAACTCCCGAACCCCCCAAAAACAATCCAATTCTTAGCCTCATCAATCAGAAGTACGAATTACTGACCGGAAATGAAGTCTTGTTATACATCCGCAAATGTCAAATAGGCCCAATTTCTCCCTTCCGCAGTAAGCCTTCTTTGAGGACAGTAACACGATTGACGTTGCTGAATCCGACAAAAAAATATAGTTCTTGTTTATCATTCGGATAAATAATCTTTATTTATTGACACAAGTGTATTGTTTTAGTTCATTGTTGGGATTTTTTGTATAAAATGAAAGTCTGTTTAGATAAAACAGCTGTAACGGATTCGTGAGAACTACATGTCAGATATACAAACTTAATGCATCAAAAGATCAGAGTGAAACGTTAAAAAGGCCAATAAAATTATTTTTAAGAGTAATTGGTGCATGGATTGATTTTGTATTTTTGATTGTATTGTGTTTTTGATTGATTTTTTTTTTTAAATTTGAAGTGACATTTAACAATGTCTATAAAAAAATCGTAGAATTTCATTGAAGCTTCGTATAATTTTCTGTACAAATCTATAAGATGTTTACCCATGTTTTATAACTATTATTCACATTTATTCTCGCAAACAGTACCCAAGTCTATTGGATATATTTCTAATTTCACAGAAGAAGTTTGCATTAATTACATTGGCGGATCTAGAGGGGGGGGGTTCCGGGTGTTGGAACCCCCCTTTATTTTTTGCCAAGTTGAGAGAGAGGGTAAACATTTTCAGAGAATAAATATGTATACGTCTAACTTATGTATTTAAAAGAAAGATTCTCATACATCTAGTTTCCTCCATTATATTCACCTTCACTATTACTTTTTTTTATGAAAGAACGGTAGAAAATATTCTACTTATTTTTATATATCTTATATGCGAAATTTAATTTGATATTAGATTCCCGTGATCTCGAGCTCAGACTCTAGCTGCATGTGTTGGCTATATAATGTACCGTTTTTTGATTATATCTTTCGAAGGAACTAAATGTAACTCTTTATTTTAAACCTCAACCGCACCCCACCCAAAAAAAGTTTTTCAAAATCTTAAAGAAAGTTCTTTGTTATCTTCGAAAATGCTGCAAATCCATTCAATTTTCAGGCTTCAGTAGTTTTTGAACTGTGTTTCCTATTTTATTTGGAGTGGGGGTACCTTTTCAGGGAAAAGAGTACCAATTAATTTCCCATAGAACTCTATACAAACCTTTTGCCCTCCAAGTAATTTACTAATTCCCGTTCAAACAAATCACTGGTATTATTTGAAAGTTCGTTCTAAGCACTTATTAAAAACACGAAAAAAAATATACCGTTCCGCGGCGTTTATAGGTCAAATTTGCAGTTATTTAGAACTTACAGAGATCGGCAGTAAATGACACCCTGCCAAAAATATCAATCCCCACTCCTACAATCTCCCCTGGTATTTCTAGAATTTTTGTAATATTCCCACATTCCATCATTTATTTCAAACATTAATATTTTTACTTTAAAATGAAAATATTTACATACCTCAATTCAGCCAATCAGGTAAAGCCTACCCATTTATTACTCTGGTTCAACCAGGAAACCTTTTTCCTTCAAAGGAAAAAGGGGACCTAAAACAAAGTTATTGTTTCCCACAACCTTAGATCTTTCCATACGTGTGTATGAATCTTTGCTTGAGAGTGTGTAGGGGGGGGGGGTTAAAGGGACACAACCCTGGAACCCCTCCTTTCAAAAATGGCTGGATCCGCACCTGAATTATTCTTCAATGCTTAAATTGTACTGAAATTTGACTTCCATAAGACTGAGTTTTACTGTAACGTGACTTCATTACAACTGAGTATTACTGTAATGTGAATTCATTACAACTGAGTTTTACTGTAACGTGTCTTCATTACAACTGAGTTTTACGGTAACGAGACTTCATTACAATTAAGTTTCACTGTAACGTGTCTTCATTACATCTGAGTTTTACTGTAACATGACTTGATAACAACTGAGTCTTACTGTAACGTGTCTTCATTACAACAGAGTTTTACTATACCGTGACTTCTTTATAACTGAGTTTCACTGTAACGTGACTTCATTACAACTGAGTTTCACTTCATTATTACCGGGTTTACTGCAACTTGACACCCTATTTACTGGGTTTTACTGAAATTTGACTGACTTCCGTATTAACCGAGTTTTACTAGCTGTGACTTCTTTGTAACTGGGTTAAACGTTTTTTGACTTTTTTTTTATACATGTAACGTAGTACCTGTATGATGTAGTTTCACTGTAATGTAAATTCCTTACAACCGAGTTTAACTGTAATTATGACCTCCTCATTACCAAATATCTCTGTAATTTAGCTTTCTCATAATCGAGTTTTACTGTAATATGATTCCCTTGTAACCGGGTTTAATTGTAATGACACTCTTTAGAACCGTGTTTTACTGTAATCAAAGACACTGAGATGCTCTCTTTGTGTTATTTATTTGTCTGGATTTGAAAGCAATATACCCATTGAGAAAAATCTTTTTTTCTTCTTCTTCACTCTTGTTATTTATGACTTTAGAAAAGGAACTTTTTCATCCGCTCTAAATCAGGTTTATGAGACGTTTTTTGAGGAACTGAGCACTCAAAGCGCGAGTTAACACCAGAAATTAGAATTATTATTTGATGTTAATTTCTGACATGTGATTCATCATTGGGGTCCGTTTATTGCTTAATGAAACATCTGAATCCAATTTTGCTGTAACTTGAACAGATTATTTAAGACCTACATATAAATTCAAACAACTGTCTTGGATAAAAAAGAAGATTCTTGTGCAATTGACTTTATGTCAAAGGTTTAAATTACATTTTAAGGTGGCTCATTACATCAACAGTTTATTTTAGATTTCAATACAGCACCACTTATAATGTAGATGTCAAATATCCAGATGGGGGTATTGATATCATAAACAAATAACATATGGTTATTCCCCCGACAGTTTTATGCTTTTTCCAAAATATTACAAGGGGACAATATGTCGGGTAGACTGTTAAAATAACTTGTTTTGTCCCTTTTTGTCCGCCTCTACCCCTTTTCTTTCGGGACGGAAGCTTTAACATACAGTGTAGTAATACGGAAACTTTTAAAGTAACTCAAACCCAAATCACATGTTTTTATTACGAGTCAATGTCATTTGTATACAAAGGCAAGGCCATGCCTTGACCTTGAAATTTAGTCATTTGGACAAAAGCAAGGTCAAAGGCCAGCAATCATTTTTTGATTAAAACATTTGGATTAAAACACATTATTCATTTATTCATGTATATCTGAAACGATTGTAACATTGACCGTAACGTGTCATTGCATGAACCGTGGTCATTTTGAAAAGGTCAATGTCTAACTGTCAAATAAAAAAATTGCACGCAAGTTTTACATTGTAATATTAAACATTGTTATGCCTGAGAATTTTAAAGTTGGATAAGGTCAAATAGAATACCAGACATCATATCATATTTTCTGCTTTGCAATAATTTGCAACTATCCTGATAAAAAAGCTAAAGCTTAAATTGGAGGATCTTTTGAATTGTTTTTAGGTACATTTGTTATATTGGTTTTGTTTCATTCTTTTGAGTATTAGACAGAAGGTTCAAGTTTATCCTTTTGAATGTACGTAAAGGTACAAGTAAGGCAAGGCATCTGTATAAGATTAGAAGAAAAGAACTCTTTATTATACATGTATCTGTGTAGCTTTATAGATTCCTTGATATAATTTATATATGATATTGTTCATTTCGGTACTAAAAGAAACAAACGTCCACCATTCATTCCTAATCATCTTTTATCAAAAGTCCCGTACGATACATAAGTTGTTTGATCTTCAAATAACCGCGATAATCCCCTGACTAACAATCCGGAATAATGAGACCATTTTCTCTGTGAATTCATTATTTTTCTCTTTTATTGTGGAATAAAGCTGAACTTGATGTCTTTTATATAGAACATTGTGTAATTTGTTTTCTGGTATCTGCATGTCTGCACGAACTCCTTCTAACAAAGAGGATGCTTGTGTTTTGTTCGGGCTGCAAATGCAATTTGTTGACGTGCAAAAGAAGTTTCAATTTTGTTTTATCACACTCTCAGAAAAAATTATTTCATCTCAACGAGATCTTGCTTTAAGTGTTCATCTTTTTATTTAAGTGACTACTTGAAAATTTTGAAGTATATCGGTTTGTAACGTTTCAGTATGCCTGATCTTATCTACAGTAACAATTGACATGACATTATGTTCTACATTGAACTCCCTGTACATATGTATGTGAAACATTGTGTGAAGGGGGAAACGAAATTAATTAACCCCTCTCTCTCTCTCTCTCTCTCTCTCTCTCTCTCTCTCTCTCTCTCTCTCTCTCTCATACTGATTGTACATGTAAACTGCAGAATTTGTATCAAGACATGCTTGAACAGACAGCATTATAAACAACAATTTATCTGAGATATACAAACAAATGATTGAAATAATTTCTCTCTCTTCACGGGATGGTTTGAGAGAGAAAAAAAAGGAATTATACACTACTGTGCTTTACGGAGTTTCATTACAAAGGGGCAAAACTGACAGATATTGGCAATTTGAAAGTCACTTTAGTTAAAAGAGTGTGCAAAAAGACATATCAAATCTAATGAGACAAAAATTTCAAGAGTCTTCCATGATACTTTTTTATCAATGAAAACTGGGATTCATAAACCAATTTGTAACACAAGGAATCATCTTGCAATGGACAATTTAGTGAACTAATGAACAATAAAGAAAATGGCATATACACTACATGTACGTACTTAGTGGACTCAGTTTGTAGAAAGTGAGAAACTACCAACCTTTCCGATTATAATACAATGTGTGACAGCCCATTTTCTCTGAAGGTTTGATTATAGAGATATCCTACTGTGCTTTAAGCAATGAAAATGTTTGACAAAAGAAAGGAAGTAACAAGTAGGGATAAACCACCCGAAAAAAAAAAGACCGGATTTATTTATTATTCTAGAGTTTGTTTAGTGAAAATTTTAAGACATTTGTAGGGAGTGAATAACCGTGTTAATTTTTACTTTTTGTGTTGAATTCAGGAAAAGTCTGGAGTATTTGAGCCGTTTAATATATTTTTTGTGGCATGGATATAATACTTAGATAATTATGTCAGGAAACGTAACTCGCTCAAGCTACAGCGCAAGCATATGATTCGGAGTAACCGTTCTTTGTTTGTTATTATAAACTTTGGACACAATAAAAATGTTTAACAAACTTTTTTTAAATTCCAGGTGGATGTTCTCTGCTTCTTGAATAATGAATAATGTCTGCAACATCAAAGACAAACTTTTATGCGACCTTTTGGCGGATCCATACTCCTTCTGGGACAAGATTCCATGCCCGCCACCCTCTAATCCACAGATTCTCTTTCAAGTTGATTACAAAAGACTTTTAAGTGACGAAGATGGTCTAAGAATAATTTTCAGAATAGCTAAACGTTGTGACATTCCTATACCAGAAATGCTGAAATCTCCTGCTCGACTTGGCGGGAACGCCATCTTTACGTTTTGTGATTCCGAGTGTGTAAATACAGTCGTGTTTTCCTGTTTAATTTTCTTTGTCGTCATGGTGATAATAGTCATTTATGTCATAAGGTAATTTTTTTGTTAGCATTTTCATTTTTCTAAAAAAAAAAAAAAAATCCAAGAGATGTTAGTAAAACACTTATGCCCTCCCTCTCCCAAATGATTGGAATTTTTCTAAGCCCAAGGGGCATAACTCTATCCAAAATGGCTCGATCATACCCAAAACAGAACTTGACCTAAATATTCTTATGATAAATTTTTATACTAAAATTCATTTCAATATAAGCAACCTCTGTAAATGATAATTGGAAACTGCAAATAATTGGAATTTTTTAAAGTCCAAATGACAGAACTCTGTCCAAAATGGCCCGATTGTACCCAAAATAGAACTTGATCTTAGGCTGGATATTCTTATGATAAATCTGTATACCAAATTTCATTTCAACATGTGCAACCTTTGCGAATAAAATGAACGGAAACTGATGGTGGACCGACAGACAGACAGACAAACTGACCGACCGACAGACAGCAGCAAAGTAATATGCCCTCCTTTCTTCGAAGGAGGGCTAAAAAAAGAAAAGTTTTGTAAAACATTTATGTCACTTTTTTGCGTAAATTCCTAATCCTTTTTTATTCTCTCTCTTTAAGGTATCAAAGTCGACAGAAGACAGTCTCCATAGTAACCTACAGATCACGTGATCGGTGTATTTGTATTCACCTTGACGGAGAAAAGGAAACCAATTCCTCTTGTAATGTGAGTATTGTCCGTCTCTTGTCAATAGATTATTAAAAGTAAAAATGCCCGACTGAAATCTAACTATGGTTTTCTCTTTGTATAGGGTAACTGTCGGTATAATTACGGAAAATATACAAAAACTGGATCTATACCGAGGCGGAATCCGAAATATTCGGACCATTCCGATCAGTCTCCATTGGAGAGCACATACAAACAATTTCCTTGTGTAGACGTGTTCGATTCGCATTGCTCCCCTCTTCAGTGTAATGAAAAAAGCGGAAGTGAAAATTATGAAGACCTTGAAAAGCAAAAATCTCGAATAGACGAGTTCACTCTTTTGAGGAAAGCTTTCAAAAAATATTACGGTCGAGATATCGACTTTGCAGAGTCGCCATATTCACGCAAAACGGAGGAAACATACGCTTGCGGAAGTGAAAATGACATGGAAATGACGTCACTTGATTCTGATGAAAGTCCGAAAAGTACTGGTAAACGTTCGAATTACGACTTTGACGAGAATTTCCAATCAGAAAACCACTACAATGATATTGATTGTGATTTAATGATTAATGAAGTTAATCTATCAAATTCCACATACAGTTTTAATAACACCACGAATCATATTTATGCAACAATTAAAAAGAGTGTGTTCGAAACAACCAGACCGTCCTTACTAAATGAACCATATACAAGCAGTACCTTAAAATCTATTTATTCGGATGATTCTGACTGTGAAGATAATTTATTGGAAGGAAACAGCTACAGGTCATCTGGAATAGATTTTCAACGACTTCATTCAAAGCACGTGTATGAAAGAATGACCTCGAATACTTCCAATCGAACCGATTTATCGTTTCTGACTGAAGACTCTGTTGAACTTCTTGTTCCCGACAGAAATTCTCAATGTTCAACGTTTAAATAGTGGATTTATTTTGAAACTGCATCGTAAAAAAACATAATGGAATAATCTTCGACGTTTGATGGAAGTTTCACAATGTTACAGAATTAAGTTAAAAACAAATTCAGAGCACTATCTGGTATCTATTTCTTGACCCCAGATCAGTTCAGTGTTTAGATGTGTATGTTGGATTCGTCAGATATAAACGGTGCTATGCATATAAGAATTAATGAATTCATTTACCCAGTAATTTCTTCAATAGCTGTGTAAACAAATATATTGGGAATTCTTGAATGAATGATTTTTTTTTATATAAATCATTATACGCATGCGCGGACTAATTTTCAAATCCGCCATATGTATCTTGTCAAACGAGAGTGCCATGAATAATATTATTTATTGTTTTCAGTCTCTTGTCAGTCTAAAAATTCAAGAAGATTGTTTATTACTTAATACATATAAAAATAAATAAAGAATTAATTATCTTTTTTAATTTCATCTTTGCATCATTTATTTACATACATGTATTATTCAGTGAAATAAAAAATGATCAACTTTCTTGGACGAATGTTTTCTGCATGGAACCTAACATATGAATGAATGTATCTTTAAGGTAATGAACGAATTCATAACAAAAAAAATAACCTGGCATTCCAGAATCTTTTTATGAATAAAATTTGAAGATAAATTGATTTATGATGTGCTGGTGACAATATACATACGTTCAGGGTGACCCGTACCCACCCCATCCCTCCCCTACGTACATGCAGTGTAATTTTACTGTATGCTGTACAAAATACAATTATTCACAAAGGACTATTACTTTAAGTATTTGATACACTTGACGAGTCCGCTTCGACACTCTCCCACAAGAAGTTCCCCTTCGTCAGTTATCGACAACGCCCGGGGGCTGTCCAGTTCGGGTACAGTGATGTACCACAAGAAGAAACCATCCCTGTTAACCACATGGATCTTATCTCCCAGGCAGTCTGCGACTATTATATTGCAAAGACTGTCTGTGGCCAGGGAACCCCCGACAAGGCTATCCTCCTTCAGGTGTCCATGGTAGCTAAATCTGTACTGTCCCTCCTCACTTACTACGACTATAACCTTCCTCCCCCAGTCTGCTGCACAGATATCTCCGTTTCCATTTTCGGCAACGTAAACTAGCTTTTCGTACAGTGGACGGTTTTTGGAATCGAACTGTATCTCTTGAATTGGTTTACCATTGCGACTGAATCGGACAATCTTCATCGACTTTTCGTTTTGTTTCATGCATACAAGGAAGCCGCCCTCTCGTGTGCTGGCTATACCGGAAGCTGACCAGCCCGTGCAGCAGACGGTAAAGTCAATGATGCATTTAGAAGTAGTTTGTCCTGGGTCATTTTCGATCGTTTCCAATCGATTAAACATGTAGTTATTGAAGACTAACTTTCCTTTATGGAGAGTCAAGTAAAGACCACATTCACTTTCAATTGGCTTGACATCTTGAAGATTTCCATAAAAGTCAAACAATTTTAGTTTTGGAACACTGCCCCCTGCCCAAAATTTGCGTCCACGCATAAATACCAAATCAAACAACCGATTTTGGCTAACTCGAGGGGGAAATCTGGTATCTATGGTTTCAGAAAGCTGTGGTGGATTCAAAACCGTCAGCGTGTCTTTCTTGGATTCATTGTCTGGTAGATAGGCTTGGAAGCTCTCTGGCTTAGCAAGGTTTCCAAAATATTTCCGTAGTTCCTTTTCAACTTCAAATCTTGATAATATGGATGGCATGGTTGCATCTTCTATTTGTGGTACGCTGTTGAACTCTTCCAAGTCTTTTTCTAGTTTTAACAGTTTTAATGCACTCTTTATATTTCGTTTCTTTGGGATTTCATTTCGGAGTTTTCTTAACTGATCTAGTTTGTCTACAACCTCTATTCGTTGTTTTTCCATTTTATCCCTATGTTCTTCTTCAAACTCTTTTAAATCGTTGAGTAGTTGTTCACCAGCTTTTTCAATCTCTTGTTTTAAGAACTCCACCCTCTGTTTAATATTGTCTGTCATGTTTTGGTAGTTTTCTGCTATGTTTTCTTTCCGCTTATTGATGTATTCTAGTGCCCTTTCATAAGAATTAGACAATGAATCAAGTCTCAAATTTTCCCGCGTAACAGTGTCGAGAAGTTCTGGTATTTTATTGGTCAGTTCTGCTATCACGTGACTTTTGTGATCAAAAGACACACAAAGCAGGCAAACTGGAACTCCACAGGTTTCGCAAAATGCTCCACGCTCGAATTCAGGATGCAAAGCACAAGAACAATTGGTATTTTCGTCGTCTTCTGTGAAATATTCATCAATGGCGTGTCCTAATTCTGTTTTGAGCCTTGTGTGTACCGGCAAGCATGTCTCGCATAATCGGACCTGGCATCTTTTACAATAAAATTCAACAGGGTTTGGACAATCGCACTGTAGGAGGTTTTGAGCTTGGTTGAGATTTGCGCTCATTTTCCAAGAAAAGTTTGCAACATGTCTGAAAATATTTTCATATTTAAGTAAACATCTGCACTGCACATTTCTACTTGTAAAGATATTGAATCCTAAGTCAATAGATAAAGCATAAAAGAATGAATCCTCTAAACACTGCAATCTCGCCCCTTTTTACATGCAGAATTTTACCCTGTTAAATAAGAAAATTGTTATCTTGTATAGTCTGTAAAATATTTTCATATTTAAGATATATAAACATCTGCACTGCACATAATTGTTGTTAGATTTTGTGCCGATGTAAAGAGTTATTCTACTTGTAAAGATATTGAATCCTATATCTAAGTCAATAGATAAAGCATAATTTTTTTTAAAGATTCTAAGGTTAGAAAGTATTCTAAATAAAATCAAATGCAAAGAATATTTCTTTTTGTTTACAGATTTTAAAAAATAAGTCAAATTCATACTGTGACGATGATGAAATATCCTTCAAAATATTACTCGTCACTACACGTTTTCGTTTTCACTTTTTATTCAGGGAATTCTAAGTTACAAGGAAGTGAAAATTGAAAAAGAAATATATAAACTATGAGACAAAAATATGTAGAAAATGTTTAAACTTATTTATTCGCTAAATTATCAAAACTAAGACTGAACTCTGATACACACATCACATCTCTCTTTCCCCTAAACTCCGCCCACATTTATAAAGATATCCAATGAAAGAATACGGAACTCAAATGTAACATCAAAAGAAAGAATGGTTGACATAAATTTCCACAGAATTCTCAGGACAGGAAATGCTCAAGCTTTTATCTCTACTCTAAACATATAACTCACAATACTGTCATTGATACTGTGGGACGGAGGGGGAGAGATGTCAAATTTGATAAATACAACACAGATGCTGAAACATCAAAGTAAAAGTAAAATACACAAAATCACTGCTTGACATTACCCTCGGCTCAATTAAAAATGTTTCCACTACATTTTCTGTGTTTAACTAATTGCTACAATGGTGAAAAAAAATAATGTAAAAGTAAAAACAAGAAAAACATTGTTCCATACACAATGAAACCGAAGGGTATCAAAATTCAGTAACATTGAAATTATTTCACATAAACAAATCATAATAACGACCAGCATTAAAGATCCATGTAAGTAAAATTAATTATAAAACAATGTAATTCTTCCATTATTTTACTACTGCACAGGTGATACATGTATACATAATCATGAATTAACAAAAGGGAAAATAGAAATATGTAGTCCACTTCGAAATTGTAATTGATTATAAAAACTGGGTATTAACATGTATTTCTTAGAAACGTGCATCATGACCCGTGGTTTTACTGGGTACATAATAAACATATGGATATAGTACATGCAAAACACACAAAAATTAAAATATGAAAACAAACATTATTTATTCCACATTTATGCGCAAACTTATAAAAACTGATTTCACGTGTTTACTTGAGAACAAGAAAATATGAAAATCCTTCGTGGTTTTAAATATGCACTGTGAAAAATAAAATGTAGTCCTCTCAAGTAAAATGAGAAAAAAAAATATATTTGAAAAAATACAGAGACTACAACTAAGAATACACTAAGCTACCATGCTGAATTAACGCCGTTTTTTAAACAAAGGAATGTTCGTTTTCCTGACAAATGTTTGACAATCTGGCGTTAAATCGTCAAAATCTACCCATGAATGGTACTTGCTATCAAATGATAGTCACTTCACTCTATACTGTTCTTTTCCATTCACTTTTCTTTTCTTGATAATTTTCTCAATTTCATAAACCTGATCATCTTTTTCATTTTCAGTCACAATGTCAGTTTGATCATTTTGATCTGGGATTTCATCATCCCCTAGAATGGCAGGTTCAATGGCATCAATATTGTCAGGAGGGGCTTCATTTAGCTCATCAAACCGCAAGGCCCCCCTCTTTAACCTGTTAATATGGACTCTATTCTTTATTGCCTTCCCATCGGAAAGTCTGCGCAATTTTACATGTATCTGAGAAATTTTCTCTGATACAAGATAGGGACCCACCCATGGTCTTAGGAATTTGGCACAATTCCCTGGGGTCACAACAGGTTTGTACAAATACATAGTATCCCCTACACTGAAATGTGGGTGATTAGCTTTTTCATTAGATGTTTTTACCATTTGCTTTTTTCTTTCGTTAAGTTTTTCTTTGGCAAATTCTTTTGCCTTCTTAAGTCTTTCTAATAACGGACCAATGTATTCCATTGCGGACGATTGTACGTCTGTCGGCATATCAAGATCGAAATCCAGGAAGGATTTAGGGTGTCTTCCGTGTGCTAGGAAGAAGGGAGTCAGCTCAGTAGAGTCTAAGCATGGAGACGTGTTGTACACATGCTGCACAAGGGGTATTAATTTATCCCATTCATTGTGTTTCTCGTCACCCAAGTATGTCGACAAAGTTTTCAAAATAACAGACATCATTCTTTCTGATTGTCCGTTACATTGAGGATGAAGAGAAGTTGTCTGTGTCTTTAGTACACCGAGAATTTTGCAAGTTTCTTTCACAATATTTGATAAATATTGTGTACCCCGATCTGAATGTAGAAATCTTGGTACCCCATGTCTGCATATAATTCTATTGACAAACTCACGAGCCACAGTACTCAGAAGTCGCTTTGATATCAGAAATTGGTATCAATTCTATAAACTTTGTGAAATTGTCAATAAACACCAAGACATATTTGTTGTGACTGCCCTTGCAGACAGACAGAGGTCCCAAGATATCCGTACTAATTCGCTCAAATGGCTCACTAATTGGCATAGGTGTTAAGTGCGCTCGCACTTGAGTCTGAGGTCGCTTTCGCTGAGAGCACATTTCGCATGAATTGACCCAATTTACAATATCTCTGTACATGCCCTCCCAGAAATATTTGACCTTGGTTTTTGCAATTGTCGTGCAATTCCCATGTGTCCCCCAGACAGATGTGAATCATGTGTTTCCTTCAAAATAAAAGGAACAAGGGGGCGTGGAATTACTAACTGGACAGGGAGGTCAGCTAAGGTCTCGACCTTTTTCTGTGTATAAACGTGGTAAAGCACGTCTTTATACACAAAGTACTGATTTTGCTTAGGAAGAATTTCCCGTTCTTTACCTTTAGGTAATTTACCTTGACAAATGTACTCATAAATTGGTTGTATCTTTGGGTCAGATTTCTGATGTTTAGAAATCTCTTGTAATGAGATTGTAGTAGTCAAAGTTTGGTTGAGTTTCTCACAGCTTTTAGCTTGTTTACCTTTCTTGTCATTGTCCTTGAGGACAGACACCTTGACCGCTTATGTAGATTCTGTACTTTTGTCGACACCATTTTCGTCAACATTGTAAGCTCTTCTGCTAAGAGCGTCTGCATTACTATGCAGTTTACCTGGCCTATAGGTAATTTCCATGGTATAGGATTGTAACAAGGCAATCCATCTGGCCAGTCTACCACGTGGTTGTTTGAGGCTAAAAAGCCATTTTAAAGCGGAATGATCAACAATTGCTTCAAATTTTGAATGGCGTAAGTAGCAATCGAAATGTTTCACTCCAAATACTAACGCCAAGCATTCGCGCTCTGTAATTCCATAATTGCGCTCAGCTTGAGACAAAGTGCGTCCAGCATACGCAATGACCTTTTCAACCGTGCCTTGCACCTGTGATAAGACAGCGCCCACAGAATCCGCGCTGCAATCAGTATATAAGAGAAAAGGTTGATCAAGGTCAGGGAAGCCTAATATTGGAGGCTCTATGAGTTTTCGTTTCAGTGACTGAAACGCAGCCATTGCCTTTTCATTCATGTGAAAACTAACATCTTTCCTTGTTAGTTCATATAGCGGTGAAGCAGTTTTACTGTAATTAGGAATAAATTTCCTATAATAACCCGAGAGACCTAAAAAGGCTCTCAATTCCTTGAGATTGCAAGGAGTCGGGAAATCCTGTACCGCCTTGACCTTGTCTGGGTCTGGACTGATACCAGACTTACTAACAATATGACCAAGATATCGTAACTCATTGTGTGCAAAATTGCACTTCTCTGCCTTAAGTCGTAGGTCAGCTGCAGCTAACCTTTCAAATACTTCCTCAAGATGCACTAAGTGCTCATCAAATGTTTTTGAAAACACGATTATGTCATCTAGGTATACGAGACATGATTTCCAAGACAAACCCCGTAATACAGCCTCCATAACCCTCTGAAAAGTACCCGGTGAATTGGCCAGACCCATGGGTAAGCGCTTGAATTGAAACAAGCCCATGTGAGTTCTGAAAGCTGTATACTGTCTGGAATTCTCATGAATCGAAGCCTGATAGAACCTGCTATGTAGGTCCAAGCTAGAAAACCATGCTGGACTCTGACATCCCAAACTGTCTAACGATTCCTCGACAGTTGGTATTGGTTGCGCTTGAATCTTTGAACATTGATTCAATTTTCTGTAGTCACACACAAATCTGTAGCCACTATTATTTTTCTTAGCGACTAGCATGCAAGGCGAAGCCCAGGGGCTTGTAGACTCTTCTATAATACCCTGTGATATCATGTCCTATAACATTTCGGACATCACTTCTTTTTGTTTTTGACTTAAGCGGTAAGTCCTCTGCCTGATTGGCATTGTATTTTCTACAATACTTATCTCATGCTGAATAATGTCACAATTGCCTAATTTACCCTCTGGTCCAGAAAATACGTGTGAATATTTGTCAAACAAACTCTGTAAATTTCGGGACTGTGATTCAGTGAGATCTCCCCCCACTCTGAATCCTGGGTAGGGGATGGGGTCACGTGCACATTTCCTTCTTTGGTACTATTTGTAGTATCAGGTAGCTTAACTAAACTGTCGTCCCGAGCTAAACAACAAAATTTCCCAATGGCATCCCCTTTTTGAATTTTTATGTCGTTATCAGTAAAGTTGGCAACTCTTAAAAACGTTTCCCCATCTTTTAAATAGCACAAGGCCTCCCAAAAATAAGACCCTCTGGGTTACTTACATTTCCCGAGCTGATGCCAAGAATTTCTGCCCTTGTACACATGCAGTTATTACTGTCTCGGTCTTAGAGGGGATTGTCATGTCTTTGATCGTCGACAACGTTCGCCTGGGGTCAATGGACAATTCTTTGCAACCAAATTGAATGGTGACGTTGTTTGCATGCAAAAAATCTAAACCTAAGATAAAATCAGTCATTAAATTTGGAAGCAAATAAAATTTCACATTGACAATGCATCCTGATATTTCAACATCAACAAATAACATTTTATTGATAGGAACTTTCTCACTATTTGCTGTTACAATAAAATGCTTATCGCTCTTTGTAATGGTGCAAGAAGTTAAAATTCTCTAGATTTTTGGTAGTATTTTATTAGAGACTATTTATTAGCTATATAATAAATTGATTTATGATGTGCTGGTGACACAAATACGTTCAGGGCGACCCGTACCCAACCCAATCATCCCCTACGTACATGCAAGGTAATGTACATGTATGCTGTACAAAATACAAAAGATCACATAGGTCTATTACTTTAAATATTTGATACACTTGACGAGTCCGCTTCGACACTCTCCCACAAGAAGTTCCCCTTCGTCAGTTATCGACAGCGCCCGGGGGCTGTCCAGTTCGGGTACGGTGATGTACCACAAGAAGAAACCGTCCTTATTAACCACATGGACCTTATCTCCCAGGCAGTCTGCGACAATAATATTGCAGAGACTGTCTGTGGCCAGGGAACCCCCGACAAGACTATCCTCCTTCAGATGTCCACGGTAGGAAAATCTGTACTGTCCCTCCTCATTTACCACGACTATAACCTTCCTCCCCCAGTCTGCGGCACAGATATCTCCGTTTCCATTTTCGGCAACGTAAACTAACTTTTCGTACAGTGGACGATTTTTGGAATCGAACTGTATCTCTTGAATTGGTTTTCCATTGCGACTGAATCGGACAATCTTCATCGATTTTTCATTTTGTTTCATGCATACGAGGAACCCGCCTTCTCGTGTGCTCGCTATACCGGAAGCTGACCAGCCCGTGCAGCAGACGTTAAAGTCAATGATGCATTTAGAAGTAGTTTGTCCTAGGTCATTTTCAATCGTTTCCAACCAGTTGAACATGTAGTTATTAAAGACTAACTTTCCTTTATGGAGGGTCAAGTAAAGACCGCATTCACTTTCAATTGGCTTGACATCTTGAAGATTTCCATAAAGGTCAAACAATTTTAGCTTTGGTACACTACCCCCTGCCCAAAATTTGCGTCCACGCATAAATACCAAATCAAACAACCGATTTTGGCTAACTCGAGGAGGAAATCTGGTATCTATGGTTGCAGAAAGCTGGGATGGATTCAGAACTGTCAGTGTGTCTTTCTTGGATTCATTGTCTGGTAGATAGGCTTGGAAGCTCTCTGGTTTAGCAAGGTTTCCAAAATATTTCCGTAGTTCCTTTTCAACTTCAAATCTTGATAATATGGATGGCATGGTTGCATCTTCTATTTGCGGTACACTGTTGAACTCTTCCAAGTCTTTTTCTAGTTTTATTAGTTTTAATGCACTCTTTATATTTCGTTTCTTTGGGATTTTATTTCGGAGTTTTCTTAACTGATCTAGTTTGTCTACAACCTCTATTCGTTGTTTTTCCATTTTATCCCTATGTTCTTCTTCAAACTCTTTTAGATCGATGAGTAGTTGTTCACCAGCTTTTTCAATCTCCTGTTTTAAGAACTCTACCCTCTGTTTAACATTTTCTGTCATGTTTTGGTAGTTTTCTGCTATGTTTTCTTTCCGCTTATTGATGTATTCCAGTGCCCTTTCATAAGAATAAGACAATGATTCAAGTCTCAAATTTTCCCGCGTAACAGTGTCGAGAAGTTCTGGTACTTTATTGGTCAGTTCTGATATCACGTGACTTTTGTGATCAAAAGACACGCAAAGCAGGCAAACCGGAACTCCACATGTTTCGCAAAATGCTCCACGCTCGAACTCAGGATGCAAAGCACAGGAACAATCATTATCTTCATCGTCTTCTGTGAAATATTCTTCAATGGCGTGTCCGAATTCCATTTTGAGTCGTGTATGTACCGGCAAGCAGGTCTCGCATAATCGGACCTGGCATCTTTTACAATAAAATTCAACTGGGTTTGGACAATCGCACTGTAGGAGGTCTTGAGCTTGGACGACATTTGCGCTCATTTTGGAAGTTACACATGTATGTTCGCAACCTGTCGGAAAAGACTCTGATATTTGACTGAACATCCGGATATTTCTACTTGCCTAGATATTGATTAAGCATTATTTTTTCTTAAATCGTTATAAGGTTAGTTATAACGAAAGAAAGTAGTTTTCTCGTTATAACTGTTAATCGAAATAAAAAAAAAAAGCTATAGGAATAAAAAACGACTGGTTTTCTTACTTTCAAATTGATAAAGAGATGCAAATATAATTTGCAATATTTAAAAATTATTAAATACATTTTAAATACTATTTTAAGACACATTTACACATTTAAAGAGAACAAAATTATATGATTATGATATAATATGATATGATTTCTGAAAAGATAAAATTCTGAACTTGCCTGATTTAGTGATACATGTAGGAATGGAGAAGTAATATGTAAGTTCGCTTAGAAATCTTGTAACAAGACTTTGTAAGTAAACAATACAAATTGACATTTATAAATAAACAAACTACAATCACAGACACAAGAAAAAAACACATTTGCTGTTTTTCAATGAAATATTTATCATACACACAGATAATTAAAAAAATAAATTAAAATCGTGCGTTTTCTGGCTTATTTCAGAATTAAATGTCCTGGTTTCTATTGCTGTCAGGAAATATCGCACTTACCATGCTTATATAAAAATTGCATTTGGCTAATTAAAACAAAGTGTGTAAAATTTTACGGAAATTATAAATGTTTCGTTAATTTTGGCAATGCATATAACTATATTTATGTCACAAACTTTGAGTTGACCAGAACACATTTCCGCAGATAATTAAAAAAATAAATTAAAATCGTGCGTTTTCTGGCTTATTTCAGAATTAAATGTCCTGGTTTCTATTGCTGTCAGGAAATATCGCACTTACCATGCTTATTTGCATTTGGCTAATTAAAACAAAGTGTGTAAAATTTTACGGAAATTATAAACGTTGTGTTCAGATACTGTGACGATGGGAAAATATCCTTCAAAATACTACTCGTCACTACATGTTTTCTGTGATACACAACTCACATCTCAACTCTTTCCCCTAAACTCCGCCCACATTTATAAAGATAACCAATGAAAGAATACGGAACTCAAATGTAACATCAAAAGAAAGAATGGTTGACATAAATTTCCACAGAATTCTCAGGACAGGAAATGCTCAAGCTTTTATCTCTACTTTAAACATATAACTCACAATACTGTCATTGATACTGTGGGACGGAGAGGGAAGAGATGTCAAATTTGAAAAATACAACACAGATGCTGAAACATCAAAGTAAAAGTAAAATACACAAAATCACTCCTTGACATTACCCTCGGCTCAATTAAAAATGTTTCCACTACATTTTCTGTATTTAATTAATTGCTACAATGATGAGAAAAAAAATAATGTAAAAAATAAAAACAAGAACAATATTGTTCTATATACAATGAAACCGAAGGGTACCAAAATTCAGTAACATTGAAATTATTTCACATAAACAAATCATAATAACGACCAGCATTAAAGATCCATGTAAGTAAAATTAATTATAAAACAATGTAATTCTTCCATTATTTTACTACTGCACAGGTGATACATGTATACATAATCATGAATTAACAAAAGGGAAAATAGAAATATGTAGTCCACTTCGAAATTGTAATTGATTATAAAACTGGGTATTAACATGTATTTCTTAGAAACATATATCATGACCCGTGGTTTTACAATGAACTGACAAATCTACTGGGTACATAATAAACATATGGATATAGTACATGCAAAACACACAAAAATTAAAATATGAAAACAAACATTATTTATTCCACATTTATGCGCAAACTTATAAAAACTGATTTCACGTGTTTACTTGAGAACAAGAAAATATGAAAATCCTTCGTGGTTTTAAATATGCACTGTGAAAAATAAAATGTAGTCCTCTCAAGTAAAATGAGAAAAAAAAATATATTTGAAAAAATACAGAGACTACAACTAAGAATACACTAAGCTACCATGCTGAATTAACGCCGTTTTTTAAACAAAGGAATGTTCGTTTTTCTGACAAATTTTTGACAATCTGGCGTTAAATCGTCAAAATCTACCCATGAATGGTACTTGCTATCAAATGATAGCCACTTCACTCTATACTGTTCTTTTCCATTCACTTTTCTTTTCTTGATAATTTTCTCAATTTCATAAACCTGATCATCTTTTTCATTTTCAGTCACAATGTCAGTTTGATCATTTTGATCTGGGATTTCATCATCCCCTAGAATGGCAGGTTCAATGGCATCAATATTGTCAGGAGGGGCTTCATTTAGCAAGGCCCCCCTCTTTAATCTGTTAATATGGACTCTATTCTTTATTGCCTTCCCATCGGAAAGTCTGCGCAATTTTACATGTATCTGAGACATTTTCTCTGATACAAGATAGGGACCCACCCATGGTCTTAGGAATTTGGCACAATTCCCTGGGGTCACAACAGGTTTGTACAAATACACAGTATCCCCTACACTGAAATGTGGGTGATTAGCTTTTTCAGTAGATGTTTTTACCATTTGCTTTTTTCTTTCGTTAAGTTTTTCTTTGGCAAATTCTTTTGCCTTCTTAAGTCTTTCTAATAACGGACCAATGTATTCCATTGCGGACGATTGTACGTCTGTCGGCATATCAAGATCGAAATCCAGGAAGGATTTAGGGTGTCTTCCGTGTGCTAGGAAGAAGGGAGTCAGCTCAGTAGAGTCTAAGCATGGAGACGTGTTGTACACATGCTGCACAAGGGGTATTAATTTATCCCATTCATTGTGTTTCTCGTCACCCAAGTATGTCGACAAAGTTTTCAAAATAACAGACATCATTCTTTCTGATTGTCCGTTACACTGAGGATGAAGAGAAGTTGTCTGTGTCTTTAGTACACCGAGAATTTTGCAAGTTTCTTTCACAATATTTGATAAATATTGTGTACCCCGATCTGAATGTAGAAATCTTGGTACCCCATGTCTGCATATAATTCTATTGACAAACTCACGAGCCACAGTAGTCGCTTTGATATCAGAAATTGGTATCAATTCTATAAACTTTGTGAAATTGTCAATAAACACCAAGACATATTTGTTGTGACTGCCCTTGCAGACAGACAGAGGTCCCAAGATATCCGTACTAATTCGCTCAAATGGCTCACTAATTGGCATAGGTGTTAAGTGCGCTCGCACTTGAGTCTGAGGTCGCTTTCGCTGAGAGCACATTTCGCATGAATTGACCCAATTTACAATATCTCTGTACATGCCCTCCCAGAAATATTTGACCTTGGTTTTTGCAATTGTCCGTGCAATTCCCATGTGTCCCCCAGACAGATGTGAATCATGTGTTTCCTTCAAAATAAGAGGAACAAGGGGGCGTGGAATTACTAACTGGACAGGGAGGTCAGCTAAGGCCTCGACCTTTTTCTGTGTATAAACGTGGTAAAGCACGTCTTTATACACAAAGTACTGATTTTGCTTAGGAAGAATTTCCCGTTCTTTACCTTTAGGTAATTTACCTTGACAAATGTACTCATAAATTGGTTGTATCTTTGGGTAAGATTTTTGATGTTTAGAAATCTCTTGTAATGAGATTGTAGTAGTCAAAGTTTGGTTGAGTTTCTCACAGCTTTTAGCTTGTTTACCTTTCTTGTCATTGTCCTTGAGGACAGACACCTTGACCGCTTGTGTAGATTCTGTACTTTTGTCGACACCATTTTCGTCAACATTGTAAGCTCTTCTGCTAAGAGCGTCTGCATTTCTATGCAGTTTTCCTGGCCTATAGGTAATTTCCATGGTATAGGATTGTAACAAGGCAATCCATCTGGCCAGTCTACCACGTGGTTGTTTGAGGCTAAAAAGCCATTTTAAAGCGGAATGATCAACAATTGCTTCAAATTTTGAATGGCGTAAGTAGCAATCGAAATGTTTCACTCCAAATACTAACGCCAAGCATTCGCGCTCTGTAATTCCATAATTGCGCTCAGCTTGAGACAAAGTGCGTCCAGCATACGCAATGACCTTTTCAACCGTGCCTTGCACCTGTGATAAGACAGCGCCCACAGAATCCGCGCTGCAATCAGTATATAAGAGAAAAGGTTGATGAAGGTCAGGGAAGCCTAATATTGGAGGCTCTATGAGTTTTCGTTTCAGTGACTGAAACGCAGCCATTGCCTTTTCATTCATGTGAAAACTAACATCTTTCCTTGTTAGTTCATATAGCGGTGAAGCAGTTTTACTGTAATTAGGAATAAATTTCCTATAATAACCCGAGAGACCTAAAAAGGCTCTCAATTCCTTGAGATTGCAAGGAGTCGGGAAATCCTGTACCGCCTTGACCTTGTCTGGGTCTGGACTGATACCAGACTTACTAACAATATGACCAAGAAATCGTAACTCATTGTGTGCAAAATTGCACTTCTCTGCCTTAAGTCGTAGGTCAGCTGCAGCTAACCTTTCAAATACTTCCTCAAGATGCACTAAGTGCTCATCAAATGTTTTTGAAAACACGATTATGTCATCTAGGTATACGAGACATGATTTCCAAGACAAACCCCATAATACAGCCTCCATAACCCTCTGAAAAGTACCCGGTGAATTGGCCAGACCCATGGGTAAGCGCTTGAATTGAAACAAGCCCATGTGAGTTCTGAAAGCTGTATACTGTCTGGAATTCTCATGAATCGAAACCTGATAGAACCCGCTATGTAGGTCCAAGCTAGAAAACCATGCTGGACGCTGACATCCCAAACTGTCTAACGATTCCTCGACAGTTGGTATTGGTTGCGCTTGAATCTTTGAACATTAATTCAATTTTCTGTAGTCACACACAAATCTGTAGCCACTATTATTTTTCTTAGCGACTAGCATGCAAGGCGAAGCCCAGGGGCTTGTAGACTCTTCTATAATACCCTGTGATATCATGTCCTCTAACATTTCGGACATCACTTCTTTTTGTTTTTGACTTAAGCGGTAAGTCCTCTGCCTGATTGGCAGTGTATTTTCTACAATACTTATCTCATGCTGAATAATGTCACAATTGCCTAATTTACCCTCTGGTCCAGAAAATACGTGTGAATATTTGTCAAACAAACTCTGTAAATTTCGGGACTGTGATTCAGTGAGATCTCCCCCCACTCTGAATCCTGGGGTAGGGGGTGGGGTCACGTGCACATTTCCTTCTTTGGTACTATTTGTAGTATCGGGTAGCTTAACTAAACTGTCGTCCCGAGCTAAACAACAAAATTTCCCAATGGCATCCCCTTTTTGAATTTTTATGTCGTTATCAGTAAAGTTGGCAACTCTTAAAAACGTTTCCCCATCTTTTAAATAGCACAAGGCACTCCCAAAAATAAGACCCTCTGGGTTACTTACATTTCCCGAGCTGATGCCAAGAACCCCATGAGGTAATTTCTGCCCTTGTACACATGCAGTTATTACTGTCTCGGTTTTAGAGGGGATTGTCATGTCTTTGATCGTCGACATCGTTCGTCTGGGGTCAATGGACAATTCTTTGCAACCAAATTGAATGGTGACGTTGTTTGCATGCAAAAAATCTAAACCTAAGATAAAATCAGTCATTAAATTTGGAAGCAAATAAAATTTCACATTGACAATGCATCCTGATATTTCAACATCAACAAATAACATTTTATTGATAGGAACTTTCTCACTATTTGCTGTTACAATAAAATGCTTATCGCTCTTTGTAATGGTGCAAGAAGTTTTGATAAAATCATTTACAAAGGATGTTTTCATTTGCAACACACATGTCTGCACCTCTATCAACCATAGCAAAAAGATCATGTTCTTGAATTCTCATTGGTACAAAATTTCTCAAAAGACCTACTGATGTTACTAAAACACTAGCTTTAATTTCAGAATCTGGTGTCTTACCGGTGTGAGAAATAGTTCCCTCAAAATTTGTTGACTTTATAGGGGATTCAGAAATTTCAGGGTATGTGTAAAACACGAAACGAGAAACGAGAAATGAGAAATGAGAAACGAGAAACAAAAAAAAGAATGACCTAAAAATGTCAACCAAGGGGGCAGCTTTTGCTGTGCTTTCATTTTGTTAGAAAACAGATGCCGAGTGAAACATCAGCGATCTTGCACTGCTAAACCCATAAAGCCATGACAGATTTAATTAGATATCAGCTGAAAGTACATGATTTAATAGCTCACCTCAAATTATTATCTGAATAAACAAAACATTAAATAATTTCACAGTATTTATAAATAAAACCTTCATACACTTGTTATACATTAAATTAGTTATCAGTGAAGGTATCAATTAATGACAACAGAATCATTAAAAGCAAAAATTGTATCATTTGATGACAACTTTATTATTTCAAGCAAAAACTGAGTAAGCATTTCTCTTAGATAACAGTATTTTAATTATATCTGACAACATTTTAGGGTTTTTCTGTGCAGATACTTGTGCGGGTTAAATCAGACCTAAGTTAGATATTTTCATTTCACTCTGCATCTGTCTAAAACCTGGCCTGGCCCCTTTGGCCTGGCCTGGCCTCAAGGTTAGCCTGGCCTCTATTTTGGCCTTAATTTGGCTTCAAATCAAATTGCCTGGCCTCAAATTTGGCCTCTGTAAAAATTTTTGGCCTCAATTTTGGCCTCACCCAAAAATAATTTCTTTTTCAGAATTTGATTGATTTTATTGATTTTTTAAATTAATTTCAGTCTTTAAAGAACAAAGCAGATAAATAACATATTTTGTATACATTAAAAATAATATGTACTACCACATTGATTATCAATCGATCAGTGTACACTTATTTCATTTTATGATTTAGGTATTTCATACTGACACTACCAAAACTCTTGCTTAATTATTTAGAAAAAAGTTCAGAGTTTATTTTGTGTTTTCTGTGCACATTGAAAAAATCTCTAAATCATCAAATGTCATTAATAGCTTTGAAAAATTCCCACTTGTTAAGTGATCAATCACCACCTTTGTATCTTAAATGTGATATATGAATACA